ACAGAGAGACAGTTGTCGAGCTCTAACCAACTGAACTACAGAGAGACAGTTGTCGAGCTCTAACCAACTGAGCTACAGAGGCCAGTTGTCGAGCTCTAACCAACTGAACTACAGAGGCCAGTTGTCGAGCTCTAACCACAAGTTCATGTATAAATACTCATACTGAGGTGATTCCAAGATGGATTGGGAGCATAGTCTACACTCGATAAAACTCTTTGTAGATAAGGTTCGGTAAACTTATCTACAACGTAGGCTGGGCCTCTACACTTGCTGTATTTAGTCTTGGAAACATCGTCGTGCCACAGTCTGAGTTAAATGTTTCACAAAAATACTATCAAGACTGTAATGGCATAAGGAGAAAAGAAACATAGTTTTCCCCGTCCTTATACAAGGAATGCATTGATATAAAATCTATAACTTCACCACCACCACCAACAACAACAAGAGAATGTGCCATGGACCATGGTTTGTGTTTACGTAAAAAGATTTAACATACGTCGACATTCTGAGTGAGGGCTAGGTAACGTAAAGTAAGTTGAAACTCTTAGCAAGACAGACAACACAAATATCGGCAGATCTGAAATGAATTATACAGTTCATACACGGCTAAACCTAAGGGCAATATATACCTTTCCGACGGAACTAACATGATCGCCAAATCGATGTTTTACGATGCGTGTCCAAGGTGAACCTACCACGCCTCCAAAACACCCACTTCGAAACAACTGAGGTTTACCTATAAAGACCAATTTCATTAGTACCTACTTTTTTCCTAAAACTGTCGCATGCGACCTGCTTACAAGTTACAACTTGAGTTGTACTGCGTAAATCAAGCTCACAACTCACCTATACGACAACGTAGATAGGCATGCCGTATGTAAATCACTCTTCACTGAGATATATCAACACTGTTACACGCGCAAAAATCTCACATCTTGTAGCAAGTCTGCCAACAAGCCATCAACAAGTTGTGTTCGCACTGCTTGTCCCAAGTTGTCGACTTAAGTTTGGAACAAGCTGTTAACAACTTGTAACAACCTTGTTGATATTATCAGACTTGTTGCAAGGTTGTCCCAACATGCAATTCCGATACAGTCACGATATAACCATATTGTTACAACCTTGTGTCGTCAACCTTGTAACATTCTTGTCATATCATGACTGTATCAGACTTGTCAGAACAACTTTGTAACAAGTCTGATAATGCCATCAAGCTTGTTACAAGTTGTTAACAGCTTGTTCCAAACTTGTACAACAACTGGGAACAAGCAGTGCGAACAAAACTTGTCGACAGCTTGTGAACAGATTTGTAACAACTTGTTTGCAGACCTGTAACAACTTGTGTGATTTTACGTGTGTACCTGCGTTTTACCCTTAAGGTCCATACAGATCGGACGCGATTCGGCAACGCGACGCGAATTTTCATTTTTCAATGACATTTAACTTTACTATTTTTCTATGTTTTTCAAATATTCGGAACCACTTAAACAATTTTAACTATTTGGTCTGCATATCTTGTAAAATTTTTAACCGTTGACAGTTTTATTTGTTTTTAAAAACTGAAAATTCACGTCGCGCAGTTGCCGAATCGTGTTCGGTCTGTGTGGGCTTTCAGTTCGTCCTACACACGTAAAAACGCACAAGTTCTTACAGGTCTGCAAACAAGTTGTTACAAATCTGTTCATAAGCTGTCGACATGTTGTGTTCGCACTGCTTGTTCCCAGTTGTAACAAGTTTGGAACAAGCTGTTAACAACTTGTAACAAGCTTGATGGCATCATCAGACTTGTTACAAGGTTGTTCCAACAAGTCTGATACAGTCATGATATAACAAGAATGTTACAAGGTTGTTCCAACAAGTCTGATACAGTCATGATATAACAAGAATGTTACAAGGTTGTTCCAACAAGTCTGATACAGTCATGATATAACAAGAATGTTACAAGGTTGACAACACAAGGTTGTAACAATGATTGTTATATCATGACCGTATCAGACTTGTTGGAACAACCTTGCAACAAAAGCTAAGTTCGATAATATCATCAAGCTTGTTACAAGTTGTTAACAGCTTGTTCCAAACTTGTTACACTCAACTGGGAACAAGCAGTGCGAACACAACTTATTGACGGCGAGTTGAGATTTTTGCGTGTGTACTATATTCCATGTAATAGTGATGGGCGATTACCGATTACTTGGTATCGATACCACCCGATACCAGGCCCAAACAGGAAGTAGTTGATACTGCACGGTATCGAAAAAGTGTTTCGATTACTTTCAAAATTAGAAATTCATTATAATCCTGCAGTTGTATCATCATTTTAATGGTTATTTCTAATAAAATTTATGCACTTTTTCATATTTTGCTGCATTTATCAATTTAATCAAACTTCCTTTCATATACTTTATTTGACATTCTATTCTCGCCGAGTAGAATAAAGTATGGAAAAGGCGGGAAATAAAGTTTTTTTTTTTTTTTTATGGATTAAAAGGGCGGATCAAATCGTTACTGTTAAAAATATGTAACTTTTTGAAAATTGGAGGAAGTAATCGTTTGGGTAATCGATACCTCGATACCTTAACCAAAAAGTAATCGGTATCGTATCGAAACCATAGATATCTTATATAAACTAGATAGTGCATCTAATTATTCTGCAATTCAAAAATTGAAGCCGTGATTGCAGTCTCAGGTCGTTCCCATGAAATGAGAAGATTCGTATGTTTTCTATTTCTTAAACAGGGAACTTAAACATTAAGTTAACCCTATTCCAAATACATTTTTAAACTATTCGAATGATGAAAGTTATTGTTGTTTTTAAGCGTTTATTACCAAGTGGGAACGACCAACATGGCCGCCATCTATTCAAATGGGGATAACCGCAGGAATATTCTTGGCTTCAATTTTACTAAAAGAGATCACAGGCGGCCCAGACGTGTATTAGTGTATAGTAAATATATCATTATAGAATATACTACACAGTAAAATTTGTAATGAATTTTATATTTTTAAAATCATATTTACTTGCCTACTTTGATTGTATGTGATCGTCTTTTATTTCTGAGCGACTTTACATTCGATGCCTGCGACTGTCTTCATAGGTGATAGTATTGAAAGCAAAGGCTAACGATTCCAGTTCTCAAACAGCCGACACGAACAATTCAAATCGAAAAATATCCCCTTCAAATTGCTTTCTTCACGGTAAAACTTCACCAGCGTATAGAATAAACACCCATCTTCTAACATACAAAGCAATATTAACACGTCCTATAATTTTTGCAATGGATTTTTAGCGAAATGTTTCGAGACTAAAATTCTATGGAACTTAGAAAGCCCGATAATTACTACGGCGCCTGCTTGGCCACCTAGCCTCCTTTACCGTTTGGATTTTCAGGGGGGGGGATCGAATAAAAAACACCTATTTCCGGCAACAGCCAGCCAATCAACGCCGCGATACCGACTGTTTACAATATTTGAAATCTGATATTGTAATTTATCAACAACAAAACTCTTTCGATCGATCGATCGTATAGTATAAGATAGAAAGATAGCTTTTGCAAATTACAATATCAGATTTCAAATATAGTAAAGCGTCGCTATCGCGGCATTGATTTGCTGGCTGTTGTTGCTGTATACGATCGAAAAGAGTTTTGTTGTTGATAAATTACAATATCAGATTTCAAATATTGTAAACAGTCGGTATTTTTTATTCGATCCCCCCCCCTGAAAACCCAAACGGTAAAGGAGGCTAGGTGGCCAAGCAGGCGCCGTAGTAATTATCGGGCTTTCTAAGTTCCATAGAATTTTAGTCTCGAAACATTTCGCTAAAAATCCATTGCAAAAATTATAGGATGTGTTAATATTGCTTTGTATGTTAGAAGATGGGTGTTTATTCTATACGCTGGCGAAGTTTTACCGCGAAGAAAGCAATTTGAAGGGGATATTTTTCGATTTGAATTGTTCGTGTCGGCTGTTTGAGAACTGGAATCGTTAGCCTTTGCATTCAATACTATCACCTATGAAGACAGTCGCAGGCATCGAATGTAAAGTCGCTCAGAAATAAAAGACGATCACATACAATCAAAGTAGGCAAGTAAATATGATTTTAAAATATAAAATTCATTACAAATTTTACTGTGTAGTATATTCTATAATGATATATTTACTATACACTAATACACGTCTGGGCCGCCTGTGAAGAGATGCGCTATCTAGTGTATGTAAGATATCTATGATCGAAACCGATACTGGTGGTATCGCCCATCACTACCATGTAACATGACGTTCCCAATTGAGGTAATTAAATATTCGATTAACCTGCAAAAAAGTGCCGCCTGTGGAGAAAAGAAAGGCCCTAGGGTGGTCTAGAAATCTAGATTGCCGAATGAACAAGGTTCAAAACGTGTACAAAGCCGTGCTTGTTTTAACCAGCAAAAGGTAATTTAATAGCTCTACTTCCCAATAATTATGGCCAATATTTTGTGTTTATTTAGGATGGAGGTAAGCATTTTTGCCGGCTGTAAAAATGTTGTCTCGTGTTCTATGGCTAAAAGTTCTAAAGCGATATAAGAGGATTTTAGGAATGGAGGCCAATACCTCGTTGCCTTCGAACGTAAAGCGTTGTTTTTTTATCGGTCTGGGATTAGGAACTGGAATTGTAGCGAGTGCTTATGTAGCTAAAAAGCTCTACGAACAGAATAACAGCCGTGAGCTCGTGTTAGCTTTAAACCAAGTCACAAATGAAATTAAAGAACTACGGGTCTCAATGGTCCAACATTTTGAACGAACAGCATCAGAGTTTTCAAATGAACAAGTTCTAACGAATGTGAAACGAAGGTATAGGCTTGGGAATGTTCAGCAAGAAGTGCTGAGAGAGAATGAGACATTGCCACAAGATGATAGCAGTTCAGAGGATGATTTTTTTGACTTGCTTGATGAGGAAATTGACATTGTACAAAGCAATGATAGTGAAAGGTAATATATACCATTTATACTGTCGGGGTGGGGTGGGGATGGGCAACCCAGGGGGATATGAACTCTCCCTTTAACAGATCAACCTTGTTCCCATGCTGTCCCCTCTTGACAATTACGGTAACAGATCCAACTCAAAATAATGTACGAGTCAAATCCAACCGCGATCAGGCCCCCCTTGACTTTTGAAAAAATAATTGGTCAAATGCCCGCCCGAACAAGCAGAAACCACAGTCAAATGCCCAGCTATAGGGGTAGTCCTGTTTCTGGAATTTTGACTAAAATTAAATTGAGCAAGTATTTCAAGATTAAAAAGAACGAAAAATAGGCCAGACAGTTCTTCTTTTTGTTCAACTGGGCATATTGTATCATATATCTATGATTGATATTTGTGATTCAGAAGCAATTTTCAAACTATCGAAAAGATGCAAAGTAGAAAACTCGTAAAGCGCTAGAATGTACACATATTTTTAGGGAAAACTGCTGAGCAAGTTGTTGTCAAGTGGTCAAATGCCCGGCCGGGCCGTCAAATTCCCGACCGGGGCTGTCAAATTCCCGCTTATACGGGGGTAATGTTAAGTCAAATGCCCTGGGGTTGCCTGGGGGGGGGGCTGATCGCGGTTGGATTTGACTTGTACATAAGTCTGGCTTAACATTGATAGGCGGGAAGTATTTACTGTCTCTGGGGTGTGCATCCCCCCCCCCCATAGCGCTGGCCAGAGGGGGTGCTATTTTTCATGATAAAGCAAAAAATATTAGAGACAAAATGAGATACAGTATTAAATTTGAGTAATAACATGATGATAAGCAAACTGTGAACAACAATTACAATTCAAATACAGTATGTTGATGGGCGGGCGGCGCACCATGCACATGACCGACACAACTCCTGCATCTAACCCTGAGGCCACTCCCAAATTATAAAATATGCATGTGAGGAAATGGAGTCATTTTTTATTGTTTCAGCTTACAAGATAGAAGCATATTAAATTTTGATGAATTAATTAAAAAATGTGACCAGTTAGCAGAGAATGAAATTCTTGCCGACAATGAAAGAGAAATTGGAATTTTAGAAGATCTTTTAACAAGAGTAAGTTGGTTCTGATATTCTTATTATAAAACCACACAACAAAATTAGTTGGTGACTGTTACGAATAGCCTACCCAGGATTTTTTTATGTAAAAAAAACAACTTTTGCCTATGTACAGTGAAATTTATTATCAAAGCATGATTTTAAAGATTTACAACATTTCCTGCAATAGATAAATCGCAGACTAGGGTTGGACAGTTTATCGATAAACCGAGAGAAAAAACACGATTTTTTAAAAACCAATTCAACCAATTTCAGTTTAGCCAAAAAATGGAAAAGTAAGAAAATTATTGAAGCAAAATGGTAGTAGAATATTGCCAAAAAATTGCTGGAACGGCATACATATAGCACCAGGCTGACCTGCCAGTCGGTCAGTCAGCCAGACCCTATAGACCTTCCCCCTTATGAGTGAAATTTTGATCTAGACAAGTGTGGACAACAATTTCATCACAGCTTGAAAGAGCATCACAAAATTAGTAATATACCGAAGTTTTGTTGCGAAATGTTGTAAAATGCGGATAGTATAGCCTTGCGAAGTTTGCCGTTTTTCAGTCATTTTGTATTACAAATGGGAAATTGATAATCAGATGATCAAACTGATTATCAATTTTGCGTTTGTAGTACAGAATGATTGGAAAACGGCAAACTTCACAAGACTATATTATCCGCATTTTACAACATTTTGCAACGAAACTTCGGAATATTACTAATTTTGTGATGCTTTTTCAAGCTGTGATGAAATTTTTATCCAGGCATATCTAGATCAAAATTTCACTCGTAAGGGGAAAGGTCTATTAGCATATCAATAACTGTTGTTTCACTTGTAGAACACAGAGAATGTTGAGGTGTTAATGAGATGTACGCGGGCATATAAATCCAAGGCAAATTTAGCCGAAGACAAAGAAGGAAGGAAGGAGGCTGTTTATAAAGGTTTGTATCAAGATCATACTGATGCTCAGGCTTTGTAAACCACTGCTAATAAATGGCTCATTCAGAAGAGATCCACACTCCTCAACAAATTTTTGCTGCCTGAAGGGGGAGGGAAGAAAAATTTGTTTCTGATAATAGTAAATGTATAAGAATGTCCAAAAGAGGTAGGCAGGCATGGATGTTTTTTGGAATGAACGGCCAATTAGCCATTCCAAAGTTGATGAGTGGACTGGGGACGAGTGTTAAAAAGTGCCCAAATTAAGAAATGAACCAAATCACTAAAACGACCACCTCAAAATTAGTAAGCATATGAAGTTTGAAGACGTTTACATGAATACCCTTCGAATAATAAGTTTTCGAAAATTGTGAAATTACTGAATTAGCGATTAATTTAAAAGATTGTTTTTGGGACGCGTGTCCCAAAAACAAAAATTACAATACATTTCATAGTAAATATCACAATTTTCGAAAGCTTATTATTCAAAGGATATTCGTGTAAATGTCTTCAAACTTTGTATACTAGTCTTACTAATTTTGAGGTGGTCTTTTTAGTGATTTAGTTCATTTCTTAATTTGGGCACTTTTTAACACTCGTCCCCAGTCCACTCATCAACTTAATATGTGGAAATGTTGCAGGTATGGAATACGGTGAAAGAGCTGTAGAAATCTCTGAGGATCATCCAACAGCTCAAAAATGGTGAGTAGGATAATATGACTGCATCTTACATAGAGGTGGTAGTCCACTTAGTGTATATGTCTCTCATCTCTGTGGCTCTAGAACAGCACCTTCAATTCAGTTTGTTATATTGTGTGTAATAAATATAGGTTTGGCGTTTTATTGGGAATGGCTGCTGGAATGGCGCCGTTGATGGAACAGATACCTCTTGCTCATAAATTTAGGGTAGGTACCTGAAAAAATAATGTTGATTATTGATTAGTAAAATTCTCTGGTGGTACACATAAAAAAATCTTGCAACAATTTCCTAGAAAGCCTGTCAACAAGCTGTAACATTAATGCTCCCTTACAAAAAAAGTCTATAGGCCTGGCCTATAGGCCAACCTATAGGTTCCTATACGAAACCTATAGGTTTTTATAGGCAATTGGAACATTTTCTATAGGTGACCTATAGGGATGCCTATAAGCCTATAGAGCTCTATAGCTGCCTAAAGGCTTCTATAGGGAATTGGAACATTTCCTATAGGCACCTATAGGCCACCTATAGACTTTTTTCGTAAGGGCTGTTATTTTATCAAGTTGCAACTTGTTGACAAATTGTTGACTTGCAGTCCTGACGATATAACAAGTTGTTGGAACAACTTATAAGAATGTCACATGGCATGCCGTTCTTGTTGGAAATCACCGCAAACATAAGACTGACAGTATAGATTTGTTTTTGATAAGAACCACTGATCACACCATCATTAATTAACATCGAAATTATGTACATGTCACATCCAAGTTGTCAAAACAAAGCTTGCTTAAAAGTCTCTATTACAAACGTAAAAACGCACAAGTTGTAAAAAACCTGCAGCAGACTTGTAGCAATGCTGTTCCAATAACTTGTCAACAAGATGTATTGGCCCTTCTTGTATCCAGCCTGTTGACAAGTTGTCAGCGAGTCGTTGACGACTTGCTACAAGGTTGTTGAGCTCAAAAGACTTGTTACAAGTTGTTCCAACAACTTGTTATCATCCTGCAATTCAACAATTTGTCAACGAGTTGTGAGTGACAACCTTGTAGCAACTTGATAAAATAACAACGTTACAACTTGTTGACAAGCTTGCTACAAGCCTGTTGGAAACACATCTTCAGTTTTTTATGTATCAATTTGTCATATATACTGTATGTGTGTCTAAAATCTGTGAGTATGGTGATTTTGCAGAAACATGTCAAAAAGGCAATTGAATTGAACCCAGATGATTCAACTAATTATCATTTATTGGGAAGATGGTGTTTTGAGGTAAATTTTGAAAGTTTACACAGTCTAGGTTTCTCAAATAGATTTGGTTAGTGATCTAAACTTGCTTTAATTCCCAGGTAGCGAGTCTGCCATGGTGGAAACGGCAAGCTGCAGCCACGTTGATCGCTGAACCGCCCACATCTTCATACGAGGAAGCTCTGTCTTTGTTTGAACAAGTGAGATATATAACTTTTTATTTAAGACAATTTACAGAGTACTGAACTTGACAGATATTATTTTCTCTTTCGTCGTACCATCTAAAATATCTTTATTTTAGCATTCAATTCAGGGCTCAAAATGACGTTTTATGTTGCAGCCAGTCATGGTGACCAATCAGTTTCAATACACTCTTTCGATAATTACGTCACAATTACAATGTTTTCAACTTAGGACCACCTTAAATGGAAGGGATTCAAGTTTTTTTCTCATGGGCTATGCACAGAGAAGCAGAACATGTGTTGAAGAAGGATGTTCTGCTTCTCTGTGCATAGCCCATGAGAAAAAAACTTGAAATCCTTTCCATTTAAGGTGGTCCTTAAAGTTGAAAACAGTGTAGTTGTGACGTAATTATTGAAAGAGTGTATTGTGTCTGGTCAAATGCGATTTCTGACCGATCAGCTCCCACAAGACCCCACGAATACTCGCCTCCCTGCAACGCATTGCTCACTCAATGCATTAAGCAACGATGCAGGCAGTGTAATTATTAATTATAACACAACTAAAGTTTAAATATAATCTTTGTCATATCTTAATTTGGTCTATTATAAGTTATCTGACCAGCAGTTGGCATACAAAATTCAACAACTTAAATTCGAATGAAAAGTTTAATATGTCAAAGAAAATCCTTACATAATATTTAACGGGTCCACGTCATACAAATTTGACCGGTCATATTAAAAATTCCGGTGACTGGCCGTTATTTCGAGTCCTGTTATTTTACAATCATACCTAAATTGTTTGCTGTTAACCATTGATTTGTACCATATGTACAGTATATTAGTGTATATTAGTGTACGGATTCTGACTTATGGTTGAGCATTTTTTCTCATTTTAGGCAGAGAAACTTGGCTTTACCGGGCCCAAAAGTAACAGACTTTTTATAGGAAAGGTGCGCGGTTATTTGAACACAAATGAAAGATTTTGAAGAACTATATTTCCTTGCAGAGATAGTAAATCTGGAAAAACTCATTGTATTTTCTTCCATTGCAGTGCCACCAAAGCCTTGGTGATGTAGAGAAAGCAAAAGAATGGTTAACGAAGTCGTTGGAATTGCCGGTGAAGGATTATGACGTAAATATTTTTTTCTTTATTTTTTTCTGATTTTGAAATTTGAAGTATTACATTTTAAGATAATGTTTTAATAAATGCTACAAAATAGTACAAAGTGTCCTTAAAAAGTTGAAGTAAAAAGTAATAGTAAAACTAAAAGTACTATTGTCTGCAATGGATTGACATACAAAAAAACAAAACAGCATACCCATTATATGCGTGCACCTAATATACAATATTTCACGGCATGGTCTACTTTCCAGACCCCGTTGAAGATATAACAGGGTTCGTAGCGGTCTTTGAAATCCTTGAAAGTCTTTAAATTTGAATGCAGGTCTTTGAGGTCTTTGAAAAGTCTTTAAATTGTGTGAAAAAGCGAAGAAAGTCATTAAAAGTCTTTGAATTCTTTAGTGAGTATTTGATTATACGATTTCCTAGCTAATAAAATAGATTGATTGAAGCAAGATTTTCGCAAATATCGACGAAAAGGCGCATTTTAGGATGTGATTTGACGGGACTAATTACTGGGTAAAAATGGTGCTTATACACTCGCAATTTTTCGACAGCTGATTGTCCTCAAAGGTCTTTGAAAGTCTTTGAATTTTTTTGGTCTTGGAAACTATGAACCCTGTAAAACTAAAAGTACTATTGTCTGCAATGGATTGATATACAAAAAAACAAAACAGCATATGCGTGCACCTAATATACATTATTATACATTTAATATGTATTCTCGTTTCTAATTGGTCAGAAAGCATCGGCTAATTTTCAGTATTCGGCATTTATTACGTATTTTCCGCCGATGACGTCATCAGCGTCCAATAATTGTTTTTTTGGATCGAACTTGCATCCAAAAAAAAAATTATTGGACTCTCTCGTGCCCAAACCCTTGCGCGGCCAAAAGCTTGAACTATAAGCGCGGGGGAAAAAAACAAACAATGGCCGACAGCAGATTTGCTTCGCTGAATGAAAGTGAACTCTCCAAATTATTGGCAGATAAGGATAGTGAAAGCACGAAAAAAGCCGCAAAGGGGTAAATAGAAGTAGAAATATAATATTTAGCTGACCTTTGACTTTGTGCAAGGTGTTTGATATTCAAATTGCACTTTTCCTACCTCATGAACAGGAATCGTCCTATACGTTTCTCATGTCTTTAAATGTATAATAAAACAATTATTGGATTCTGCTTTCGCATGATATCAAGAATTATTCAGACCTCGGTCTATGTTATCCGCCTCAGCTTCGCTTCGGCAGATAACATTGACCTCGGTCTGAATAATTCTTGATATCATGCTCAGCCTCATCCAATAATTGCTTAATATTTCACGACATGGTCTACTTTCCAGACCCCGTTGAGGATATAAGAAATGTACTATTAAATAATTAATGCTTATAAGTAAGACACAAATGAGAGATTCCAGACACATGTAGATGTCCTATTACCTATCACAAAATTAAAATAAATCCGGAATAAATCACGTAAAATTAAAACAAAAGTTAGAAAGAAACCGACTTCGCCACAAAATGAAAATAACGAAGTAAACTTCTTAAAACGACTTCGTTCCAAGTAAAAGTACTCCAGAAAAAGTTTACTTTGTTACATGCTGGCTTCTCAAAAATAGTACTCAGGTACAGTAATGAAGTACATTTACTTCGCTACCTGACACCACTGAGTCCGTGTTTACAAAAATTCTCTTGCTTAAGCTCGCTAATAATCAGACATTCCTTGGGTGACACTCCTTGTATATCACATTTTTATTCCAGGATCGAACAGCTCATGAGGAGGCAACTGAAATTATGCAAACTTTATAAAGAATATCACGAAGATCTTTCCTATTACGCTGCGTTCACATGATGTACAGGTAGATTAATTAGAAATAGTGTAGATTAGATATAGCGTAGATCTATAGCTACAGTAGAAAAGTGTGCATCCCCGCGTGGAACGACTAAAAACAAACGGTTGAAGGTATACCAGCAAAAACGGTGACGGAAAACACTTTTGGAGTTGATTTAATTAACTCCTTGAAATTCACATAGAGTATTCGTTTACGCAATTTTTATCCAGCAAGTTCAACTTGTACCTCATGGTATAAACCTCAGGTAGTAAACGCAGCCAAATTAAATCATATTCCATCCTAAATTATCCGAACATGTTGGATAAGACATAAATATGAAAAGCGTCATGAAGATGTACTGTACTTTTATACGCGCGCTTGCATAATTTGAAATAAATTATTTTATGCGTGCATAACCCAGCTTGGAGGCTTTTTGTATGCTATATATTGCCATATGCTATATATTGCCACGAATTCGGAGACAACTTGAGAGAAAATGGCATAAAACAAGGACGAATGCTGATTGGAATCGCTATAAACAACAATGTTATGCTGTAAATAAACTTATCGACTCCTCAAAATCGGCTTACTATACCGACTTGATTAATAATGGATCATCTGATCAAAAAACCCTTTTCAAGACTGTAAGCAATTTGCTGCATACAAATACGATTATTCGCTATCCATCTTCTCCTGACCCAATGTCACTTGCCAACTCATTTAGTGATTTCTTCACTCAGAAAATTGTTAAAATACGAGGTGATATCGAAAATGAACTCTTGAGTAAAAACATAGAAAATCCTATACCTGATGCTGATTCATGTCCTTATGAATTTCACACCTTCAGGGAGGTTGGAAAAGACGAAGTGCTCCATTTAATCCAACGTATCGCAACTAAATCCTGTTCTCTGGATCCACTCCCGGTGGTCATGCTAAATCACTGTTTTAAAGACATCTTACCCGTTGTAGCTAGAATAATCAACCTCTTCTTGGAGAGTGGTACAATGCCTGACTCTTTGAAGATTGCTGTTGTTCAACCGCTATTAAAAAAGTACAATCTTTCCTATGAAGAATTCTGCAGTTTTCGTCCAATATCAAATCTGAAATTTGTCTCGAAATCTATTGAGAAAGCAGTTGCTGTACAATTAACTGATTATCTTACTGAAAATCATCTACATGAGAAATTCCAGTCTGCTTATAAACCTTGTCATAGTACAGAAACAGCGCTATTGAGGGTTCAAAATGATATCCTTCAAGCTCTAGATAACGGTGATTCTGTTATTCTTGTCCTACTGGATCTGTCGGCGGCTTTTGACACCGTGGATCATTTAATGTTATTAACAAGACTATCGAAACGCTTTGGCATAAGGGGTCGTGTGTTGGTTGGCTTACCTCATACCTTACATCCAGGAAACTGTTTATTCGTGTTGAGGGAACTGATTCGTTATTGAGTGATCTTGATTGTGGTGTACCTCAGGGATCTGTGTTGGGTCCTCTGTTGTATTCACTCTATACTGCCCCTCTCGCGGATGTGGCTAGGCGCCACAATCTGCGCTTTCACTTTTTTTCTGATGATGGGCAACTTTACATTGCATTCAAAACGAATGATCGTGATGATTTAATATCATCTAAGATCCGTATGGAGAAATGTATACTTGAATTGGGAAACTGGTTGATGTTGAATAAATTGAAACTAAATAGTGGCAAAACGGAGCTTATATTAGTCCATTCACGCTATCATCTGATGCCTCCCTTAAATTATATCATGGTGGGAAAGGAAAAAATTGTGCCAACTGTTTCAGCAAGAAATCTGGGGGTGATTTTTGATGAGTGGATCAGATTGGGCGAACATATTAATGGTATCTGCAAGTCAGCTTACTACCATATTAGGAATATTTCAAGAATTAAAAAGTATCTACCTCGAAATTGCTTAGAAATAATTATTCATGCATTTATAACTTCAAGATTGGATTATTGTAACTCCCTGTTGTATGGTGTACCCAAATATTTGCTTCAGAAGCTTCAGAGAGTCCAAAATACTGCAGCTCGTTTACTAACTGATACTAAGAAATCGGCGCATATCACCCCAGTTCTTATCGAATTGCATTGGTTACCTGTCCAATACCGTATTCAATTCAAGATTATACTTCTTGTCTATAAAGTTGTTAATGATCTTGCTCCATCGTATCTGAAGGAACTTATGCTGTGTCGTACTTCGCAGCGTACTCTTCGATCAAATGGAAATGAATTGCTCCAGATTCCTTATTCTAGACTAAAGACATACGGAGACAGATCGTTCTGTGTTGCTGGACCAAGATTGTGGAATGATTTACCTGTTCATCTTCGGATGTGTGAATCATTAACCATTTTTAAGAAGTTTCTTAAAACATATCTTTTTAACTTGTTTTTAAATAGTGTATGATGTATTCTATAGTTTTAACATTCTTAATACTAGTTTTAAGATTGGATTTTGTATTACTGTAAAGCGCCTAGAACAGTCTTGGTTTGTGCGCTATATAAATGTTTATTATTATTATTATTATTATTATTATAGTGAGCTGATATGCAGTGCTCGCCACTTGACTTTGTAGAATGGTTAGCACTTTTTTCCATCCAGCAAACCGCCCTGTCGATTTTGTAAAGTCGTGTCTTTTTGGATTTTTTTATTAATTCGGTTAGAGTTAGAGTTAGGGTTGAGGTTGGGTTTGGGTTAGTTACATGGCCATTTAACACCTCTTCTATCTTGCGAAAATGACATCAGGTCAGTTTGCTGGATGGAAAATAGTGCTAACCTTGTAGAATGGAATCCCCCACCCATAGCCAGGCGATACATACACTATTACTTATACACGCGTACTATTTAAAACAAGCCGCATATAAAGATACGAGGCGAAGCCGAGTATCTTTAGGTCTGATAAAGCACGCACTGCGAATGTTTTAAATTGCTTCAAAAACGATCGATCTAGTAAGTTCATTGACGAAGTAATTTTCAAAAAATACGTTGTGTAAGTCGAGAAAATTATGTTAAAGTTAAAGTTTATGTAAGTCAAGGGAATTCTCTATCACATATAAAGATACGACACGCTTATGGTTTTTCTTTGTGTTTTCCTCATGAATTATTAATGAGTTTTTGAAGTAAATGTATATGATTAATGCATATTTACCATACACTCTATAAATTATAAACATCCTTGCTAAAAACAGCTAATACATATATACTGTATATACTCGCTCAAACATTCTATAGCTATTTTGCTCTTTCAAGCTTTCATATTTTCTTGAACTTATATATCGAATATTTTCTGAACTTTTTCTCGCGCCTTTCTCAATCCATGTTTTCATTTATTTGAAATAAGATATGGTATCAACTATTAAGGAATAATTATTTATTTTTTACACCTAGTTCTCTTAAATGATATGTTTCTCATGTTTTACTCTCGAATTCTTTATTTTCACGTTTTCTCGACTTTCTCCGCGCTTTCTCTTGCGTGAAATAAAACAAGGCTGGATTTCTGGCATTGTTCACGTCAGTGCAAGGATGTTCGTATATCTGCCGCATTATTTTACGTTTTCTCTGCTCGAGTTCCCACAGAGATCTTCCCACGCGGAGCTTTTCTCGTTTCATCTTCTCAAAATACACCGCTTTCATAACATCGAGATGTTTGTTGAACGATACTAGTTGTTTCGATTCGAAGTAATTCTTCATCACGGCGTTTCGTTTGTTTTCTCGTGTTTTGTGGGATTCAAGAGCGGCATCGATCGGTCGGAGTCCTCGTCTCTGAGGCATGATTGTTGGTAGTTCGCTTCTGCCCCGGCCAATCTTCCGTGCCGGCGTGAATCCATACGAGATTTTTGATGGGTAGTCTTTCTTGTCTTTTGTATTCGTCATTTAGGGATCTTTGATAGCTGAATAACATTTTTTTGTTAATTTTAAGAACTTTATGAACCACATGCAGTATAGCACTAAAGCCTCAACAATCTGCTTGACCATACATTTTCTATTTTTCGAATAGCGATTAGCCGAACTTCTACTGTTAGCGCGTGTCGATTTCTTGAAACGATTTAATTGATTTGTGACGAGAAAATACTCAGAATGCTTTAGTTTAATGTCATGGTCAAATATGTAAGCATGTCGAGGTTGTTATACAGCCATATTCTCAGATGTACTGTACTTTAACAAGCAAATTTACTGTACTGTGCTACAGCAACTGTCCAGTCACGCATACGTGATAAAAAGCCGACGTAAACTTTATAAAGAAAAAATGTAAAACGTAACAGAACGGCGAACATGCAGATTCGGCCATCTCAAATAATAGAAATGTTGGGATAGTAGCGTTGCAGATTGCAGAGGAGAGTGGGCAGCTTTTCAACAAACTTTTCAATGCGCTTTTTACATCATAGCAATCAGCTTTTCAATGCGCTTTTTACATCATAGCAATCAAAAGGGCAGTACTCCTGTAGTACTGAATAACAAACAGCTTTTCAATGCGCTTTTTACATCATAGCAATCGAAAGGGCAGTACTCCTGTAGTATATATAATGCTACGAATTTACAAAATTTACAAATAGAATATAATTATACAAATGCTATAAAACGTTTTCAGTTTAGTATCTTATAAAAAAACTTAATAAAAAATGTACTTAGCATGACTAGACAGGTCTATACTGTAGTCCAAATTAATAAGCATATAGCTATAGCACTAGCCACTTGCAAACTTGCACAGTATTTCATATAGGGAACTGCTCTCATAAAAGATCGCAATAGACAATATTACTGACAGCACTTTTGTATTATAACCTTGTAATCTCTATATTCACGAACAATTTAAATGCTTTGTGTACCCCTGTGAAAATGAAATAATTGTTATATCTGCATACAGAAATATCATTCTGTTCTTGTTAACGCAGCTTTGATGATATGGCGCAAATGCGAGGAATCCTGTAATTGCTAAGCCCAAGGACTCCTTTGGATTGTGAGCAAATAGAATTCAATATAAAGTTTCTTATTGTCGTCTAGATGACATTAGTTTAGTTGCAAAAGCAAAAGTTCGTATATATAAGATCAGCTCATTATAATAAATATTTTTTTAAATTACTATAGATTGATGTTTTGTATTACTGCAATATTTTAACCATTCATTCTAACTGTACATTTTTGTTAAATTGTCCTGTTTTTTGAATTATTTTGTAGCCAACAGTAAGATATACACATGCTATAGATTTTGCACCCCTTAGCAACCAAAACAATGCATGCGCTTTTAACTATAATCTTCCTAAATGAAACATGTAAATGTACAAGATTGTACACGTTTTATTTAACACAGCGCACATTTTATGATGCATTGTCAGTAAAAAAGTAATGTTAGCTAATAGTTTTATCGTCTTACCTTAAGTCTCGTTGAAATTCTCCATGTGTGTGTTTAAGACGTTTTGTGTATACTGTCCGATGGATTATCCCAGCTGCTTCGTACAATTATGCATTTTAATTTTGAACACAAGTATAAAAAAATGCCGGCGAGTAATATTTAATATTCAATGACTTTCACAATCTAACCCAGCGTGCAGTATGTATTTGAAGGGAAGACTTGTTTTGCCTTGCAATATCTCTCGAGTTGTGCTGTATTGCATTATTGGTTCAACACAACTGCTATATATTGTTAATTATAGAATACCCAAAAGTCTTAAGTCAACACAAGTAATGAATAGGACGTGCATTATCACAATATTGCATGTAAATTGATATGGGAAATGTCCACATTATTATGACCTGCCATATACGTGTTATTTTCATACTTGTCATGCACACGCTTGCCAGTTTCAATAGTTCATAATGGAGGGTATATATATAATACCGTCATGTTTCGAGCACAAATATATTTCTCATTGATCTTTCCTAATAATGTTGTGCGCGAAACATTAGGTTATAACCGAGGGGTGTGGCTTGCCCGGCACCAGTTGTTATTGCCACGATCAACTCGAGAATGAGAGCTGACGAAAGTCACGCATTGTTACAGGGGACATTTGAAGCTCTAGATTAACAAAATAAAGGTTTGATAAGTGTTCCAACTATGTTTTAACTTCAATAGAATACATGATAGTGTTGGGAAAGCATTAAGGACATGAGCTAACGAAGCTCGCGTGACTGTCAACTCTTATGCACTCCCGTTTCGTGCCTGTATATTTACTTTTTTGCAGGTACCCATTTGCAGAGGAAGTAGGTTTGGGAGCCCGTAGCTTGTGAGTTGCGACGCGGAAACTTTTTGAGCAATTGGATACGAGAAAGTCAATTTTGGCAATAGGAAACATAACTCAGAGATTGACGGCTTGAGATTTCAGAAATAAAATTTGGCCACAGAACAGGAAAATAGTCAAACCACACAAAGTTTGAAAAAGAAAAGAGCAAGTTATAGAAAAGGGAGACTTGTTAAAGTCTTGTCGGTAAATATTACAAAAAGATTTGGGGGAAAAATTGAATTTTTTTATACTATCGTGCACAAGAGCTTCTGACCCAGGTTTACAGTTTGCTCCAGTCTCTGCAGGTAACGCGGTTACCTTGGATACCAACATGCGTCGTTTAATACGGACTTTAGTTTACAGTATGTGGCATTCACCCCAAGTGAGTTTCATTCTTTAAGGATTAGACTGGTTTGAACTTCTTATCGTTCACATTAAAATATTCAGAAAGAGTGTAAAAATATCCTTGAACAAGTTGGACAGAATGTCAATTTATATGCCTTTTCATAGGGTACGCCTTATTCCATAAGCGTGGTTAACACTATCAAAGTTTCTGTGATCACAGTAGGAATTTTGCATGGGTAAATTCTAAGTTTTGAAGGATTTGTAAGAAATGTTTGAGGGGATTGACTCAGTGTTAAATATTTAGTCGGTTCCCTAAGACATTTCTTACAAATCCTTCAAAACTTAGAAATTACCTACATGCAAAATTCCTACTGTGATCACAGAAACTTTAATAATGTGAACAAGGCTATAAAGTTGGAAAAAACGGTGCCCCCC